TGTGTGTGTGTGTGTGTGTGTGTGTGTGTGTGCTGTTGCCAGTAAGAGGAAAAAGTACAACCTTTTTGGCAAAATTTACTGTAATCCCTTAAAAAAATAGAAGTTATTGGGTTCTAATAAAGATATTTTTATTAGGTTTCAGTCTTCTATATTGAGCTACGTGCTTTTATGTGCCTTCCAAAGAGCAGTGCATAAACTCACTGCATAAAATTTATTGCTTTGGCAAGAAYTGCTCCATTCCAAGTAGATCTGTCTCTTATCTCTAGTGAAGGCAACCTACTGGAAGCACAGTGTTGCTTTAAATAACTATAATATGATTTTTACAATGTTTCTTTTTGTTTTTAATCAGAGGAAAAAGTGGTGTCAGCCAAACAGCCTCAAACCATGTTAACAACAAAACCATGAATRCACATGAATTATGGTTTTCTCTTCTTTCATTTCGATCAACCAGTTTTATTGTGATCTACAATAAATAAATAATTACATAAAATATATATATTTTTCTATCAGCTCATGGCTTACGTATGTGATTTCTTGTAAACTGTTGGAAACAATAAAACAATTTTTAAGGAGCAGAGATGTCACTGCAGTCCAGCTATGGACATCCTTGTTCTTTTTCTGCTGAGGATGAAGATATGAACCCTGGTATCAGACAGACAGAGACACCAGTGATCTTGTTGTTCTGACTGTTCACGGGTGGAATCTAAACCTTTAGAGAGAATTACATTTTAAACTCCTAATAAATGTGTTTCAGAAAATGTTTGTTCTTCTCTGATCATAATCAGTTTGTTGAAAATTTGTTTTTTTTCAGTGGGAATTTAATAGTGTCTGAAACATGTTAGTTAATTATTATGCTAAACAAATGTAATAATTATTTACCTGTGAATAAAGGTGAGAAAAAACATTTTAAAATTTGATGTTTCTTTACATATTTTGTGGTATTGTTTGTAGGTTTGCAAGGGGCTCACTCCCATGAAGCTAAAGCCATTTGGGGTGCAATGGCATGGAAAAGTTTGGGAATCCCTGGTCTAATCTATTTGTTTATTTTGGCTAACTCGGGCAGTATTTCTACTGTTGTATAATACAAAAATATCTCTATCTTCCTCTGCTTATCTGTAGTCGGGTTGCAGAGACAACAGGTCCAGAAGAGAAACCCAGACGTCCCTCTCCCAACGACACTTTCCAGCTCACACTGTGCGACCCAGAGGGGTTCCTAGTCCAGAGAGGATACATTATCCCTCCAGCAAGTCCTGAATCTTACCCGGGGCCTCCTGCCAGTGGGTCGTGCCCGGAACACCTCTTAAGGGAGGTGTCCTAACCAGATGCTCGAACCACCTCAACTGACTTGTTTCGATGTGGAGGAGCAGCGGCTCTACTCTGAGCTCCCCACGGATGACAGAGCTCCTCACCCCATCTCTAAGGCTGAGCCCGGCCACCCTACGAAGGAAGCTCATTTTGACATTTGTATCCAGGATCTTGTTCTTTCTGTCATGATCCACGCCTCATGACCATAGGTGAGGGTTGGAACGTAGACAGACCAAGAGCTTTGCCTTTCGACTCAGTTCTTTCTTCCCCACAACTGACCGAACCAACATCCTCATTACTGAGGTCGAGACCCCAATTCATCGATCCATCACCCGCTCCATCCTACATTCACTTGTGAAAAAGACACCCAGATACTTAAACTCATCCACTTGAGGCAAAAATATAAATCTCACCATTTCTCCTTAAACAGATTTTGTTACAGCGCTCACTTGTTTTCATAAGAACACAATTCAACTTGAAGAAGTGCTAGAAGTCACATCAGTTTGTTATGTTTCAGAGTTAGAAAGCACCCGCCAACACAGTTTGCAACCCAGTGCAAGTCTTTGTAAAACAGCTAGGTCCTGATCATCCTGAACCCACTGAGTTTGACTGGTTGCAGTTTTGGGTCGCTCCACTGTGTTGAGAGAGTCTGATGGAAGTTTGACAGGAGGGGGTGGGGTCAAGTGTTAGAGGTTAGTGGTCACATCAGTCCAGACCATTATTGACACCATGTGCTGACACGTAGGATCTGTCTCAGCTATCAGACATGGCCTCATCTTCCCTCCACTTCCCTTTTAGACGACTGGATTTAATGTAACATTTCAAACGATGTAGAGAGGTGTTCTGCTTTGGACTAAAAGTTAAACATGGGAAAGTGAGAAAATGAGACCATTTAGAAGCTGGAAACCACTCTCAGATGAACTTGCAGGGCTGAAGAAAACTATGCAAATGGCAATCTAACCCCAACAGCAAAAAAAAAGGACAAATCAGGATTAWAACCATAACACCACACAAGGACAGTTACACAACACAAACACAGGAAAAGAGAGGACAGCCACATGAAAATCATTGAGATTTCTTTTATTTTAAAATACGTTTTCTTTTTCTTATTTAGTTCTTTATGATGTAACATTGTTGCCATGCCTTAAAAAGTTGCTAATTCTAAAACATCTCAGGGCTTCAGAATAGAAATCCTCCACTGAGGCCTACACCTTTGACTTTAAATAAAACTCTTTGATAAAAATAATAATAATAATAATAATAATAATTATTAATATTATTATTATTTTAATTTTCATTTCATTTCTGTAAGTATATCTCATTTACAAAAAATTTAAATATCTGTGGAAAAAAGTGGCTCAAAATAAAGGAAACTATACAATGTGTTTCTTTTGATATGTTGCTTCCCCAATCAACAGATAAAACATAAAAAGTTTACTGTCATAAATGTCAATATATGGTAATTACATAACTTAGCTGAGCTCTTCTTCCTATGTATACAACTATGTGGTGATTTATCCTAGAATTTCATTCATGGATTATTTTTTTTAATCTATTAGCGTAAAAAGACTGAGCAAAGAGTTAAATRGATTCACCTCACTGCTCGTATGAACAACCCTGATAAACACTGCTGGTAGAAACAGCTTCCATGTAATCTGGCACTCTGTTGGGTTTTAGGTGACACTGATGAATACCCAGTGTTAGTTTATTATCAGGTAGAGAAAAGATTTCCAGAGGGGGCAGTGCAGACTCAGACTCAATCCAGGATGAAAAGAATCCAGTGTATACAGACATTCTTTTGCTTGAAGAAATGTTATTAACCTTTGGCACAAAGTTAATTGCTTTTTTTCCCTTTTTTCTGCCGTGGCTTAAATGCCGCATAGGAATTTCTGGTGAGTTCACAGGGTTACTTAAAAAGCTAGATATTTGAATTAATGGAGTGTTTAAACCCTGATTTTTAACCCTCACAGGTGGCAATCACTAATGTCATAGTAGTTTGTTTAATATTTTCTCCCCTTAATTCAGGTTCTGGTCATCATTTTAAAATTACCTCAGTTCCACGGGTATATAAAAGGCTTGACCATCAGTTTTAGACTGATTTCTCATGGTATAATCCTATCCCCATCAGAAGCGTTTWTACAGTATGAATATAATGATTGCTTCAAGCAACTGTGAGATTCTTCAAAAAGGAATGGGACAGAGCAGAATAATTATTTAACAATTCAAAGCAGGGTTTCTTTGGAGATGTTGCTGAGCTTTAATATTTCAAATGTAATTTTGCATGACAGGTTTGCCTCGCAGGTGCAGATTAAAACTAAGATGCATTTTGGGTGAGGCGATAAAACCTTATATTTGAATTAAAGCAGTAAAAACAAACAAAAAAACAGGTCACATTTAGAAATCTTCTCCTAAAAATAGAGAAAATCATGAAAAACTGACCTCTCTTTTTAAACCACCTTCTTGTTAACATCTCTCAGAGTTCTGCATGCATTGTGGGGAACTGTGAAACCATGCATGTCACATGTTTAGTGTGCATCTTCTATCTGAGCAGATAGAAACATTTCTTGCATTTCCTGTTAGACTTCATGGCACTGTGACACAAACTGTTAATCACAGATTTTGGTTTCCACGCTCAGCTTCTTCTTCTTTTTTTTGTCAGGTTTTTGAGTCAATGAGCATCTCTGTGCAGTTACCCGACAGCCGAATTGATGGCGGATTTGAGGAGTCTGCATGTTGCCTACAGGAAACTGTTCTCATTATGGCAGCGTGGGGGAGGGGGTGGTGGTGTGTGAGGAGGGGTGGGGGGTACCAGGCAGGACAAAAAACAGGGAGGACTTTAAATAGTGGGGGGGGTTACATATCCAAAAGAACAAAAAAGGCATTTGGGACATGGGAACATTTACACGCACAAAGTGCACAACAATTGTTATTTACAAGTTACAGCAGTCCTTCAAGTTTCCAGTCGAATGAAAACAAAAAGTCAAAATTGCAGAACAATTGCATTAACACAGCTGTTTGGGAGAGCGGGAACAACAGAGCAGGTCCGTGTTGTGGCTGCATTACCCTCTCCCTGTTATTTACAAGACTGTACATTACATACAGTGCAATTTACTTCAAGATTTACACTTCAATCAAACAAAATAAAAGGCGCCTCTGACTTCTGACATGGCTTCTGACCACAGGAAACACACTCACGTGCACATTATCACACACCTACAAGTATGCGTGCAGGTGAAAACTACACAGGCACACAAAATAGTATATCTGTACACACAGTGACACTCATTCCCCCATCGCACAGTGACGTCCTCTGACAAGTGCCCCAACAGCTCTTCAGGTGGTTCGCTTAGATGTGTGTGCTTTACCAGTCTGCATCCTCCTCTATGTAATAATCGGGTGTTGAAGTACCATCAAACAAACCAGGGTCCAGAGACTTGCGTTGCTTTCCCCGGGCAAAGACACGCGACARTGACCCCAAGCCCATCTTCTCTTTCTTCTTCTTACGCTTCGCCTCCTCCAGATCTTCTAGGGACTGACGGAAGAAGGAGAGGGACACCAGAGGGAAATAGAAGATGAACAGAGGAGCAAAAGGAGCCAAGTGATGCAAGAGCAAGGAAGTCAGTGAAGGGGATGGCTAAAAGAACAAAAAAAAAAAAGATCACATAGGGGAAGGGACTCTTTTCATGCTGCCGGGCATGCATGCWTAAATCAACAGCTGCCACTGAATTTGACAGGAAATTCAAATCACATCCACAGAGGGGACACGCAGCAGACAATGTGGGGCAAAAAAAAAAAAAAAGAGTGAACCCAGCCAGAAGGATGGTGGACAGAAACGACAGCAGCCAGGCAGCCAAACGGTCAGCAGTTACCACAAAGGAGGTGATTACTTGGGAGGGTGCAGTGGTGGGCAGCCCTTACATTGCAGAGCGAATGAGTCCGATGACGCGGTGAGTTGATGTCGCTGGGGGTGGACGACCRGTCTCCCTCCATCGCAGAGGCGTCAGAGATGATGGAGGGCTGACGCGAGTGGCACGGGCTCACCCGCACGGCAGCCACTAAACGGGATGAAAGGGGAAAGAGAGAAGGCTTGTTTTTGATTTGGGTGTTCAGGATACCAAATGTTGCATATATATATATA